ATAGTGATAACACCAAGTGCTGGTGAAGATGCAGAGAAACTGGATCTCCAGCACATTGCTGCTAGGAAAGTAAGATAATAAAAAAGGTACAGCCATTCTGGAAAACAATTTGCTAGTTTCTTGAAAACTAAACATGAGCTTCACAGTAGTGCATTCTTGGGCATTTATCTCAGAGAAATGAAAGCTTAGGTTCACACAAAGACTTGTACAAATATTCTCATAGAAGTTTTACTTGGGATAGCTCCAAATTGAAGCAACTCAAATTTCCTTTAACAAGCAAGTAGTTAAACTGTGGTACATCTATACCATGGGATACAACTAGTAATAAAAAGCAAAGAACTATTGATACACGCAAAAACTTGCATGGATCTCAAAGTAATTACGCTGACTGAAGAAAGCCATACATATTGTATGCTTCCATTTCTGTAACTTACCTGAAATGACAAAATGGCAAACAAGGTAGTGGTTGCCATTGACTAGGGGTGGAGGAGGGAAAGAGTTGGCTTTTGCCATGAAAGGGATCTTTATGATGGAACTGTTATGTGTCTTGAGGTGGTGGGTGTCACCAAATCTACCCATGTGATAAAATTGCATAGAACTAATTGCGCGCGCACGCACACACGCACACAAATACATCTAAAAGCAGTAAAATCTGAATAAAGTCAATGATTATGTCAGTGTTAATTTCCTGGTTGTGATATTCTGCTATAATTATGCAAGATGTTTCCATTGGGGAAATTCAGTGAAGTATATATGAGATCTCTCTGAGTTGCTCTTACAACTCAACAATATGAAACTACAAATATCTCAAAAGATTCGTTCACATGTGAAAGAATGAAGTTGGACCCCTACTCACACCATATATAAAAATTAACTCAAAATAGATCAAAGACCTAAATGTAAAAGCTAAAACTATAAAATACTTAGAAGAAAAAGTAAATGTAAGAGCTAAAACTATAAAAATTCTTAGAAGAAGCATAAATCTTAGGACCTTGGGATAGGTAATGGTTTTAGGTATGATACCAAAATCACAAACAATAAAAAAAGTAGATAAGTTGAACTTCATCAAAATAAAAACTATTTTATGCTTCAAAGGACACTAAAAGAAAGTGAAGATAATCCACAGAATGGAAAAACAGTTTTGAAAATCATATATCTGCTAAGGGACTTGTATTTAAAATATATAAATAACACTTAGACTCAATCATAAAGAGACAGATGACCCATTAAAAAATGGGCAAAGGATCTGAACAGACTTTTCTCCAAAGATATACAAATGGGCAATAAGCACGTGAAAAGACACTCAACACCATTAGCCATCAAGGAAATACAAATGAAAAACCACAGTGAGTTACTACTCCACACCCACTAGGATAGTTGTAATTAAAAAGACAGATGGGGCCAGCCCAGTTATGTAGTGGTTATGTTCACACACTCTACTTTGGCAGCCTGGGGTTCACTGGTTCGGATCCTGGGCACAGACGTACACACTGCTCATCAAGCCGTGCTGTAGCAGCATCCCACATACAAAAAAAATAGAGAAAGATTTGCACAGATGTTAGCTCAGGGACAATCTTCCTCACCAAAAAAGAAAGGCACATAATAACAAGTGTCACTGAGGATGTGGAAAAACTGGAACACTCATACATTGCTGGTGCTAATGGCAGCTTTGGAAAACAGTCTACCAGTTCCTCAAAAGGTTAAACATAGAGTTACCATGTGACCCAGCAATTCCACTTCAAGGTATATACCCAAGAGAAACAAAAACATATGTCTGCACAAAAACTTCAACCCAAATGTTCATAGCAGTATTATTCATAATAGCCAAAAAGCGAAAACAACTCAATTGTCCGTTAGCTGATGCATGGATGAACAAAATGTGGCATATCCATACAACAGAAGATTATTAGGCAACAAAAAGAGATGAAATACTGATACGTGCTACAGCACGGATGAATCTTGAAAACATTAGGCTAAGTGAAAGAAGCCACTTACAAAGATCATATTTTATATGATTTCATGTATCTGAAATGTCCAGAATAGGCAAATCCCAGTGAGACAGAAAGCAGTTGATTACTGGGCAGATGCTGGGGGTGGGGAGGAGGAGATGATGGCAAGGGGACTGCTAACGGGTTTGGGGTTTCTTTTTGAGTGATGAAAAAATTCCAAAATTGATTGTGGTAATGATCACACAACTCTGAATATACTAAAAGCCATTGAATTGTACATGGTAAATGAGTGAATTGTATGGCAAAGGAATTATATATATATTTTTTTTTTTTATTAATGTTATGATAGATTACAAGCTTGTGAGATTTCAGTTGTACATTTTTGTTAGTCATGTTGTGGGTACACCACTTCACCCTTCGTACCCTCCCCCCAACCCCCCTTTTCCCTGGTAACCACCGATCAGATCTCCTTCTCAATATACTAATTTCCACCTATGAGTGGAGTCATATAGAGATCGTCTTTCTCTGACTGACTTATTTCGCTTAACATAATGCCCTCGAGGTCCATCCACGTTGTTGTGAATGGGCCAATTTCGTCTTTTTTTATGGCTGAGTAGTATTCCATTGTGTATATATACCACATCTTCTTTATCCAGTCATCAGTTTCTGGGCATCTAGGCTGGTTCCACGTCTTGGCTATTGTAAATAATGCTGCGATGAACATAGGGGTGCAACGGACTCTTGAGATATCTGTTATCAGGTTCTTAGGATAGATACCCAGTAATGGGATGGCTGGGTCATAGGGTATTTCTATTTTTAACTTTTTGAGAAATCTCCATACTGTTTTCCATAGTGGCTGTACCAGTTTGCATTCCCACCAACAGTGTATGAGGGTTCCTCTTTCTCCACAACCTCTCCAACATTTGTCGTTCTTGGTTTTGGATGTTTTTGCCAATCTAACGGGGGTAAGGTGATATCTTAGTGTAGTTTTGATTTGCATTTCCCTGATGATTAGCGATGATGAACATCTTTTCATGTATCTATTGGCCATATTCATATCTTCTTTTGAGAAATGTCTGTTCATGTCCTCTGCCCATTTTTTGATCGGGTTGTTTGTTTTTTTGTTGTTAAGCAGTGTGAGTTCTTTGTATATTATGGAGATTAACCCTTTGTCGGATAAGTGGCTTGTAAATATTTTTTCCCAATTAGTGAGCTGTTTTTTTGTTTCAATTCTGTTTTCCCTTGCCTTGAAGAAGCTCTTTAGTCTGATGAAGTCCCATTTGTTTATTCTTTCTATTGTTTCCCTCAACTGAGGAGTTACAGTGTCCGAAAAGATTCTTTTGAAACTGATGTCAAAGAGTGTACTGCCTATATTCTCTTCCAAAAGACTTATTGTCTCAGGCCTAATCTTTAGGTCTTTGATCCATTTTGAGTTTATTTTGGTGTGTGGTGAAAAAGAATGGTCAATTTTCAATCTTTTGCATGTGGCTGTCCAGTTTTCCCAGCACCATTTGTTGAAGAGACTTTCTTTTCTCCATTGTAGGCCCTCTGCTCCTTTGTCGAAGATTAGCTGTCCATAGATGTGTGGTTTTATCTCTGGGCTTTCAATTCTGTTCCCATTGATCTGTGGACCTGTTTTTGTACCAGTACCATGCTGTTTTGATCACTGTAGCTTTGTAGTATGTTTTGAAATCAGGGATTGTGATTCCGCCGGCTTTGTTTTTCTTGCTCAGGATTGCTTTAGCAATTCGCGGTCTTTTGTTCCCCCATATGAATTTTAGGATTGTTTGTTCAATTTCTGTGAAGAATGTTCTTGGGATTCTGATTGGGATAGCATTGAATCTGTATATTGCTTTAGGTAGTATGGACATTTTAACTATGTTTATTCTTCCAATCCATGTACAATGAATGTTTTTCCATCTCTTTATGTCATCGCCTATTTCTTTCAAGAAAGTCTTGTAGTTTTCATTGTATAGATCCTTCACTTCCTTGGTTAAGTTTATCCCAAGGTATTTTATTCTTTTCGTTGCGATTGTGAATGGGATAGAGTTGTTGAGTTCTTTTTCTGTTAGTTTATTGTTAGTGTATAGAAATGCTACTGATTTATGCACGTTAATTTTATACCCTGCTACTTTGCTGTAGTTGTTGATTATTTCTAATAGTTTTTCTGTGGATTCTTTGGGGTTTTCTATGTATAAGATCATGTCGTCTGCAAACAACGAGAGTTTTACTTCTTCGTTACCTATTTGGATTCCTTTTATTTCTTTTTCCTGCCAAATTGCTCTGGCCAGCACCTCCAGTACTATGTTGAATAGGAGTGGTGAAAGTGGGCACCCTTGTCTTGTTCCTGTCCTCAGAGGGATGGCTTTCAGCTTTTGTCCATTGAGTATGATGTTGGCTGTGGGTCTATCATATATGGCCTTTATTATGTTAAGGTACTTTCCTTCTATACCCAAAAGGAATTATATTTCAATAAAGCTGTTACAAATAAAAGTTAAAAAAATAAAAAGGTTAAAATGCTTATAGTATAATTATTATTTCATATCGTACCTTTTAATACTCACTGAAAAAATGCTTTCTCTCCCATCTGTTTAGTCAATAATGATTTGGACACAGACAAGTTCAAAATGTTCCTTAATATCTTCTAGGAAGTGGATTTTTCCTAAGCAAGTTAATAGTAAGCAAGAACGTAAGGGATGTGCCTCTGAAAAATCACATTGTTTCCACACCTCTGGATGCACACACACCTAGATGTATGTGTGCATGTACTCAATATGCATATAAAGTGTTTGTTGGTCCTCTGCTTCTTACAGGCCCTTCTTGACTATCGATTAAAGAAAGGACTGCAGGACTTTCTTCTGATTTTGTGCTTGAGCCTTTTTTGAGTTACCGTATGCATTTTGAAAAAGGTCTATTCAAAAAAATATTCAAGTTAGTCAAGCTTTGCACTCAGATTGATGTTCCATCATGAAGCCAAATTTTACTGCAGTTCTTGAGGAATACCAACACCATCTTTGATGAAGTTTAAGTAGTCCTTTTGTTAATTTTCAGCTTCCTAATGAGGATCCTGAAATTTTTGAAGTCTCATCCAAGTGTCTGTCTATACTGGTGCAGCTGTATGGCGGGGAAAACCCAGACAGCCTGTCTCCTGAAAATGCAGAGAGCTTTGCTCATTTACTAACATCCAAAGAGGACCCAAAGGAGCAGAAGCTTCTGCTGAGGATTCTCAGAAGAATGGTGAGTCCACACGGAAACTGGGGCCAGGGTGGGTGGCTTCGGTGGCAGCCAGTGGACTGGGTGTAGTTGTTCTCTTTGACCTAATTTCAGTAAAGGAACTCCCAGTTACCTTCTCCATAGTCACCCATTGTTAACACTTCTATCTTCTGCCCATGTCTATCTGCATATACACATATCTTTTCTGAACCATTGGAGAGTAAGTGAGAGACATTGTGCCTCGTCACCCCTTAATACGTAAGTGTATATTTCCTGACAAAGTGGATATTCTTTTACTTAACTACTGTAATCACAATCAGGAAATTTAACATTGATACAATTCTGTTACTAATCTGCCATCCATATTCCAGTTCCGTCAACTGTTCCAATAATGTCCTTTATAGGTTTATTTTCTGGTATGGAATCCAATCCAGGATCGTATGTTTTCGTAGACATGTGTCTAATCTGGAATGGTCCTGCAGGCTGTCTTTGTCTTTCATGACATTTTTGAAGAACATACGCTGGATATTTTGTAGAATCTCCCTCAATTTGGGTGTATCTGATGGTTCCTGATGGTTAGATTCAGGACAACCCCAGAGGAGGGATGTGTCCTTCTCAATCCATCACATCCAGAGGCTCATGATGTTGATTTGCCCCTTCCTGGTGATGTGAATTTTGATCACTTGGTTCAATCAATGTGTAGTTATTATTTTTAACTTTGTAATGGTTGCAAAATGAAGATTTTCTAACTCCACCATTTCTAACTCCCAGTATTCTACTGTATGAAAAACTTTCCTTTGTTCCATTTATTTTATTTTAAAGATATATATATATAATTGATGTTTATTCTAATGTACTTTGAAGACTGACTTATTTTCTTTTTACAATAAATCTCTTCCTACTAGTTTCGAAGGCCATTATTTATAGTAGCTATTGTTGAAGTTAATAAACAAGTGGAGGTCCCGTTAGTCTATGTCATGTTCTGGCTTGTCAGTCTGTTCATTCTAGATCCAATTATCTCGAGGGGTTCTTTGGCAGTGGAGGCTATAGACGCTCCAGGGAGTTATATTCAAGATGACTTTTGTGCCAATTTGATAAATAGATGGCTGCAGTGCGTGACCCAGCTAAATCTGCATGGCAGGTTGAGTGACAGAACTAGAAGGGAGATACAGAGATTTACCCTCCTCGCTGCTGTGTTAAGCTTTTCTGCAGCCATGGCTTCCCCCACCCCTAATGAGACTTACTATGTCAACGGAGTCGTTACCTGAGTGGCAGGATGATGATATGGTCTAGGTGAGTCTCCCAAAGTGTAGGAGAAATACTTCTGGGGACAGTAGATCTTGGAGATGGTACACCAGCCTAGCACTAGATGACATTGAGTCACGTAGTAAGGCAGATATTTCCTTTTCAGTTTTTTTTTGCTCTTTCTGATGATTTAAGGTGAAAGTCTCAGTTTGGTACTACTGTGTCTTTAACACCTCTCAAATCCTTCAGAATGTCCTTTTAACAGTGAGTAGGCCTCTCAGACATTCAGTTTTTACAGTAGAGATATTTCTTTAAAAAATAATTCAAGTAAAAAAGATGAGTCAGTGTGAAGACACACACTGGAGAATGTAATAATAGGTGTGATATGTAAGTATGGCAATATTCTGAATTTGGTAGGGAATGACAAAAGCTTGGGAAATATTGACCAAATATCTGATATGCTTAACTTTGTAGAGATATCCACCATTTCTTATTTAAAACTCTAGGATTAGGTTTGTTTTAGGATTCATAATTTTCAGATCTTTTTGGCATGGTGCTTGTAGTCTATATGATATGACTCCCATAGGAGACACTGGGCAGTGCCATGATCAAGCACCGTGATATTTCTGCAGTAAAATGGATAAACATTCACATCAAGTGGGGAAATAAAGACTAGACATGGCCCCGTGTGGGTTAAGTCAGGTTTTGCCACCAAATATGTTTTTGAACCAAACTTATGAAAAAAGTTTTGATTTTCAGAGCTCTCTAGATTTCAGAATTGTGAATAAGAGATCATGAACCTGTCTTTGGATATAAATTACATCATTTTCTAAAACACTGATCAAATTTGTCATACGGAAAACAGATTAGACCACAACTTGGTCAAAGTAACCAGACTACACCATCTTTGAGTTTATTTTACTTCCTAAAATGATTTCCTTATGGTTTCTGACCTACTACATAGAGGGCCAGGTAGAGTTTGTTTGTGGAAGAAAAGTTGAATCTAAGTGACTTTTACCTGTTTATGGAAAATAGAAGTAGTTTCTGGTGCTGGTCATCTTTTTTTTTTTGGTAAAAAATATATAACATAAAATTTACCATTTTAACCATTTTTAATTTTGTAGTTCAGTGGCATTAAATACATTCACATTGTTGTGCAGCCATTACCACCACACATCCACAGAACTCTTTCATCATCCCAAATGGAACTCGACTCATTAAAGAATAACTCCTCATTCCCCTCCTCCCAACCCCGGGTAACCACTATTCTTTTTTTTTTTTTTTTTTGAGGAAGATTACCCCTGAGCTAACTATGGGCAATCCTCCTCTTTTTTACTGAGGAAGCCTGGCCCTGAGTTAACATCTGTGCCCATCTTCCTCTACTTTTTATATGTGGGATGCCTGCCACAGCATGGCTTGCCAAGCGGTGCCATGTCCACACCCGGGATCCGAACCGGCAAACCCCGAGCCACCGAAGTGGAATATGCGCTCTTAACCGCTGCACCACCAGTCCAGCCCCACCATCTCTTTTTAAGCCCTGATAGTGGAGTGCCCTCCTTCCCCTGAAGCTGAGTGAGCCTGGATGGTGTCAGAGAGGGCAACGCTGAAGTACACTTGGCCGCATAGTTTACAAGGCCAGGTAATGAGCATGTCAGTGACTGGCACACCATGGTTATTAGAGAGTCGTCTTGGGGAATAATGTGGCAGATCTCTCCCTATGAATCACATAAAAGGCCATGGATTCTTGAAATACCTGTTTAAAGTTTCAGTCTTTGATAGTTACTTTCTAAAACCACATTCTCACTAACAGATTCAAGAAATAGGATGTCGAATTTGTGCTAATGGAGTTGGGATGTGTTTTGCCCCTGGGGCACTCTTCCTTATTTAGTCTGTGTTTAGAACCTCCAGAGAATGTCGGGGAAGCCTAAGAATTTAATTATCTATTGTAATTTGCCAGGAAGCTGGGAGCCTTTATAATTATACTTTCTGCTCTACTTTAATAATGTAATGGCAATCCTTCAAGTCACTCCCAAGTTCACCTATCCCTTAAACTTGGTATCAATGGGAGTTTTCCCCGAGTAATGATTGTAGATTAGCTACTTGTCTCTTAATTAAAGCCAGCTTACTCCGACACTCAAAATATTGACCACACATAAACCTCCACAAACTTGTTCTGTAAAACTAGCTTAAACATCTACTATTGACTACTCTATGAAAGCAGAGAAGCCATCCGTGGCAGAGTGATTGTAACGTGCTGACATTGCTAACTCCTGTCGCCCGCCCATCGATAGAGGCGGCAGGAGTGCGATTTCTCTCTGAAGATGATTAGTATTAAAGATTATTGAAAATATCCGTCTCTTGGAGACCCTTTACTCTATGGCTTTCAGAAAATCTTACTGTGCGCGCCATCATCTTTCTTCCAAATTCTCATGTAGGTCCCCAGGTCCTTTTCATTCCACATGGGAACAGAGCTGTTCTGTTGCTGATAATCAGTGTAATGGCATTTCTTCACGTACAGCGTCTTTAAAGCTTTGATGAGACCAATGAGCAACCTGCATTCATTCTTTTTCTGTTTTAGGACCAGGGTGAGTTGTAGATTTAGGATCAGAAAGGACCTAATTTCTATTAGAAAAGAAAAGAAGTATTCCTTGAGGTATAAGAAAGGCAAAATGATTCCTCTCTCCCTCCTAGCTTATTTTTCTCATGGTAAGACCCTTCTGTTCTTGATGTATTTTCTTGAAGGAAAAACAGGGAGAGATTGATGCGAAACCAGTGAAATTTTTAAAAGAAACAGTATGTACTCAAATGAGTAAAAAGTAAATGTAATAAAATTTTCTGAAATCTGGTCCCTTAGAAGCTTCTCCTGAAAGTCTGAGAGGATGCTCTTAAGAGTCTCCCAGAGGGATCTTTCCCAAAATCCGTAGTTACACTGTAACTATGCCGTTACACTGGATAAATGTTCTCTACCAGTGATTGCCGTAGGATCGCAAGTTAATTGGGAACCCTCTGAATGATTTGGTTGTCTCTTTCCAACAAAGAAAAGAAATCTCTTGCCTAGAATTTTTACTTAATTCCCTGAGGAAACATGCCTGAGATTTTGAGCAAGACAGAGTCAGGAAGCAAATGGCCAGTGGAAGAGAGTCGTTTATGGCCAGTCATTCTCAGGACTGACTTCTGTGCTGCTCTGAGGGAAACAACAGTCCCCTTAATTGCCTGAGGAAGTGTGTGCGTCTTTGCTGTAGGTTTCCTGAGGATGTGCATGTCACAGAGAAAGCTTCCTTAAAATCCACTTTGAATGTGTCTCATTCTCCCTCATGTTTCCTACAAGGACTGCTCCCTCCCCCCCTTCTCACAGGAAGCTCCTCTTGACTAGGCTGGTTGCCTTCCTGTCCTCTTTCTCAATCTGATGTTGTGGCCCCCGGGCAGCATAATTTTCCTTCTGTTTGACTTCTTGTCTCAAAAGATTCACCTGCCCTCTTGCAGAAATTCTGGCAAATAAAATTTGTTCCCTAGTTTCTCTAAAAAGCCTTCTCCTTTTTCAAGTTTCCGTTGTCATTGATGACAATTTTACTCATCTTCTCATTATGAAAAGTTTCAAAACCACAGAAAAGTTGAAAGAATAATATGACAAGCACCTGTGCAATCAAGCATTGTTAACGTTCATTTTACCACACTTTTTATTTCTCTGTGTGTGTGTTTCCTGAGTCGTGTAAAAGCATCATGACATGTGGCCCCTAACTACAATAACATTGTCACACCCAAGAAAATTAATAACGATT